GGAGATTAAAGATCTGTACGAGCTTCTTTTTGCGATAGGTCGGTAAACGAGCTGTCCTGATGGTAAGTAATCGGCGCCACCCATAGACACTCGCAACACTAGAGGAGGTACGAGTGCTTTGCCGGTTTTTTGGGGGTTATAGTTTCGGAGATTTAGGGATTGAGGAGAGATGGATATGAGGAATGATTGGGCTTTCGGTAAACTCACTCACATGGTGAAACACAACGCTGTGATTGTTACACGCGGGTCTGTTTTCTGTAAAACCGCGGTATCACTCCTGTCGGGCCGGCCTATTCGTGCCGAAGCTTGGCGCTCCCGGACTCCATTTTTATTTCTCGAAACATCTTCACATACCTACTTATTTTAAGTTGTTAACGTAATGTAAAGTCTGGGTTGGAGACACTAAAAACCTTTTTACATCCGATATCACAATCAGAAATGTACAATAATATCCTTAACAGCTACTAATTGAAAATAATTAGAGAATTCACCAAATGTGAGTGTACGCTAACTAGCCTTGAGAGTACAAACAGTAATGACGTTATCATATGATGTAATTTCACAGTCTTCGAAGCCCTATAATCCGTCAAAACACAGGTCAAGAACTGAAAATCCTTTTAGAACTGTTTTCACCTTATAATTATTATTAAAATCTTTTTTTCAGACCAGAGATCCATTCAGTGTTAGTAATTTCTCGTCCTAATTTTAGTAGAAAACAGTAGTTGTACTCAAATATTTATCAATTATGAGACTTGAACCAGGAAGAACATGCCCACTTGTCCAGTGCCTAATAGCTACCACTGCATAGTATTTGGTAGGTTACAATCGATAATGCATAGCGATTTGAAACTGATGGCAACAAAGCTTAGATTTACAAATTTAGATTAGTAATTTATACTTGCATAACATTAAAAGTATTTAGAATAATAAGGGTTTAATTAGCAGTAACAAGCAAAAAAAATGCCACAAACTATAATTATTACTGTCTAAAAAATATTCCCTTCCTGCTCCCATCCTAACTTAAATGTAAGAGAATACACTTTTTCTGTCCAAAAGCCACCCTGTTTGCTAACCCAACCTTACCCACAAAAATCCTACAGAATACTAATTCTTGAATTAGTAAATGCCAAATGCAAGGGAAATGTTATGACCCATTTTTTGCCCCATAGGTAAGATAAAAAGTGTGCCTTTATATAATACGCACCTCAAACAATAATAACAACCATGATATTACGAAGTTATATTAAGATCCGGCAACACAGATATTTTTTAGCTTAAAAAACACACATAATCGCTAGTTGAAAACCACATAGCAAATAAACGTATTATTTGTTTAACAATCCAAGGTTGGTTGTTATCTGAGAAATATATAATACTCGTATGATTCGACCTGAAGATTATCGCTTAAAAGGTTGATAGTGCATATATCTTGGAATACTTGCAGTAGAAATTGTTTATTTATTAATCTGTGGTTACTAGATCAATGTAGGTTAGGTCATAATAACAATTTTGTGATGTAATATACATGAATTTATGTCCATGTACATTTTGTTTGGATTATTCTTCGTAATTTTTACCAAATTATATTTACGTAAACAATTTAGGTAACTTTAGGAAGTTTATGTAGGTACCTAATCAACATAATTGAATATTTTTTTTATAATACTAAACAGACATAATATGTAGTCAGAAAAAATATTTTTATAAAAAAATTATGAACAACTTTGTATGTTCTTAGAAAAAAAGTCGATAAATTTTATACCCATCCCTAACACCAGAGTTGCCATTAACAAAAAAGTATTTTATTGTTTTCCGGTTTAAAAAATTTGTTTTTATATTGAGGTATGAATAATTTGTAAAGCGTATAAAGTTATGTTTATGTGTAATATAAATTAAAAAGAGGAAAAATATACCAAAACTAAGGTTAAAAAATCACTGACAATGAAAACATCTATTTACTTACTAAACCTACCTAATTGCTCACCTACGTCTTCACTTACAAATATAAAAAAAAAACAATTTGACGTAACGTATAAATTACGAATTTGTTGAATTTTAATTAAGTAATTACTTTATTGTTAAAAGTTAATTTGCTGTTTGCAAAACTAAACGATAAATATTTAAAAGTAAAAATACTTTTAAAGCTTTGATAATAGTAGGTAGGTAAGTAATTGGTTTGATCTTTTTTTAACATCTGAAAAAAATCTGTTTAGAATAATCTAGCTTGCTTTATACACACACACATAGGTAGATTACCTGTCTTATGTTATTAAGTAATCACACAAAGTCGCTTTCTCTGTCCCTAAATCCCTATGTTGTAGTGTAGGTATGCTTAAATCTTCGAAACTACCCAACAGATATTGATACAGCTTTTTTTATAAATAAAAATATGATTGAAGACAATTTTTATACGGTCCTATAATAACAATTATATGAGATGAATTTTGTATCAACATTATACTCGTGCGAAGTTGGGGCGAGTTGCTAGTTAGAAACCTAAATGTAGGTCTTCAATCGCCATCGCATTTCTTAGCCGTATTTACTTCTTTTTTTTAAATCTGTCTATATTTTTGAAGATTCAAGGTTTTTTTGTCAAAATAACATCTTGTTATTGATGACCTCCGTTGGGTTCTAATAGAAAATTTATCAGTTTAACCGGTCTAAATTGTAACCATTTATAACCAGACTACTTTTATTTTTTATAATAACTATCGTGAGACATACTAAAATAACAAAATTTTAACACGCACGCTGCTCATGAGGAAGAAACTAGAAGAGCTTTTCTCAATTACAAACGTGAGTAACCCGCCATTTTTAGTAAGGTACTTTTATTTTAATGAAATCGAACACGGAACAAATTTTGTGTGATTCACAAAAATTGTAGTTCCGGGTCCTTGTGTAATTACGTGAAATTGTGTTTGTAAACGCACCCATGACACTAGGTATAAACCAGTGGGAGGCAAAGCTACTTTAAAAAAATATCAGAACAAATTTAAGAACGTAACTTTTCGAGTGCGCTCAACTGTTTTCGAGGTACGATCGGAGCTTATAAATATGATTATAAAAACAACCTTAACCGTGATGTTTCTTGAACATTTTAATTGATTTATCTGTTTCATTTTTCGTTTTTATAATAAGTACCTATAATTGTTTTTAAACTATTCTAAGGGAGTGTTCTGTAAGTATTCAATTGGGTCAAATTTAAATGCAAGATACTTTTATTACAAAGGAATAGGTTAAAAATGATTTTCTTATTTACTTAAATGTTCAATTGATTGAAGTACGTAGTACGTCCCTGCTCGACCTTCTCAAACAAAGTTATCTTCGCTACACTAATAGGTATTAGGAGTTTAACAGATTGTAGCGTAGGTAGTTAGTTAGTTTATTTGAATTAATTTTTCCCAAAGGATTAGGTAGAAATTACGAGCAATGAAGTCAATAGTAGGAATCTAGTCCAGTAATTATATTGACTGGACATCTACACTACATGAGCTGCTGTTTACATGTGAACATTAGCTCATGACGATACCTAAGTACGTGTGTCGCCTGGACAGTCAACCTCGCTACATCCTTGTTGACTGGACATCTACACTACATGAGCTGCTGTTTCCATGTGAACATTAGCTCATGACGATACCTAAGTACGTGTGTCGCCTGGACAGTCAACCTCGCTACATCTTTGTTGACTGGACATCTACACTACATGCGCTGCTTTTCTATGCGTACGTGTTTCATCGAAATACGTTTAGTAGTTTTTGAGTGAGGACGAAATTACAAGAGGTTCAAACTTTGACATATAAATTAGAATGTTAAGTTAAATCGATTCTTAATGTAAACTAAACTTCAAAATTACCTTGACAAAGGTGAACCTGATATCTTCAACTTGAATAATACTGTAATGACGTATTATTTGAGTATTAGAACAGGTTTTTTTATTAGGTTTTTGTCTCTTACAAAAATGTCGTCTTAAATCGTTGATTTTGGTCACCTTTTATTTTAGGCAAGAGCGTAGACATCTGTGATACTAGAGGTGATATGAGCGCTTTACTGGACCTTTGGGGATTAGGGTTTCGGAGATTTGGCGAGTGGGGGACGGAAAAGATTGAGTCAATGGTAACCTCACTCCTATGGCGAAACACAACGCTGTTTTTTCACGGAGGTTTACTGTAAGGGCTGTAGTATCAATCCGGTCGATCAAGCTCATTTGTGACGAAGCTTGGCTCTCCTAAACTCCCACTTATATTTATACCATTGACTTTTTTGAATTGGGGTACCTACCTACATGACAAATAGTCAAGTTCGATATTTTTGTCCGAAATGTGAAAAACGATATTTTTCAATGATATTTGTGACTGAATTTGTGACATTATATTTTTTATGTCAAATAACATTCTTATTTCCAAAATGTCCTCTGCCCTCTTATCCTCCTTCAGACTCTTACTGACTAAAATCTACCCCGTTCTTTCTCCTGCTCCGGGGTTTGACTGCGGTACATGTTTAAGCATAGCGCTATACATATTAGGGAAACTATTAATGTTCATAGGACGAATGGTCACGTTTACACGGAAGATAAATCGATCGATCTGCACTTTACCTAGCCAGGAACTAATAAAAATGTAAAAAATCGTACAAAGTAAAAAACGAAATATTTCTTTGGATTTGCTTAATTTTTAGTCAAACCATTACTTCACATCGTCGCCCTATAAGTGCCCAATGCTGAGCAAGGGCCTCCTCTCACACGGAGTAGGTTTGAGCGATTGGCGATTCCAAACATATAATTACAAATTACAAGTCCTGATTTCCTTCACCGTACGTCAGTGGTTGGTGTCTTAACTATCATAGAAAGTACATATAACTCGGTAAAAATTCACATTGGTTCTTGCCAAGTTTCGAAACCGCACCTTCATTCATGAGAAGTGGGTGCCTTAACATCTGGCCCACCACCACAATTATCATTACTTAGATAAAGTATAATACAACAACTATAAAGGAAAACTTACTGCAATGTTCCAGAATTAGGTGTCCTTAAAAGTCGGAAATCCTGTTGCTTCTGCTGCTCCTCATTATGCCTTGATGGACCTTCTTCAGGGTCCGTGCTTAACGTCATCTGGAACTTCTGAGTCAAGTTGGGAATGACTTCTGTGGGCCCATCATCATCGAAAGACTGATGATCATTGTTCTCTCCGAGCACGAACCGTTTCGACGTTCTCCTTTTCAGCATTATCACAAAATGGCTGACATACGCGTATATATTTGAAATATAGTTCATATAAATCACTTAGCACTTTTCATTATATATTTGTCTTTATTAGAAACACTTTTTCACTTATATTTGTTTGTAACAACTATGGAGAGACATATTAAATTAATTAGTGAAATTCGGCTTGCAAAAGTAACTCATCGAGCGCGCTCGACTATTTTCGTGGCACGATTGGGGGTCATAAATATTAGCAGCGAACTTGACCGCCGTGTTTCGTGCCTAAGCCTATGCAAGGCTTAGACTTAGGCTAATTAATTTATATGTTTTTTTTACCCGACTGCCAAAGAAGGAGGGTAATGTTTTTCGAGTGTATGTAAGTATGTATGTATGTCTGTTCCTTTGTGACCTCCTGTAGCCTAAACGGCTTGATGGATTTTGATGTATGAGGTATCGTTAGATTTGTCTTGATTACGGGAGTGTCATAGGATACATTTTATCCTAAAAGTCCCACGGGATAAAGACATAATAATATTTTTTCTAAATTTCCCTTTAAAAAAATATGTATGCGGTATCATTAGATTCATTTCAATCACGGGAGTAATTAATATAGGATACGTTTTTTCTCAAAATTCCCACGGGAACATGTTAATTCTGCGTCAACGCAAAGCAACTCATGCGTTAGCAACATCGATCACTAATAAAGAACTAGATACACAATCCCATACAAAAGTTCGCTTCAAAACTGTCGCCAACTGTATTTAGGTACTTATACTTGAAATAAAAATGCATTAATGTAAATTAAACCTTAAATGCAACTCATTGAGTTGTTTTTACAAAGTGATGTACAAAATCTTAATACTTTTTGCGACCGAAGCTCTTGACAAACACAAATCATAAGAAATTGAACCATATTCGCATGTTTTTAAGTCGAATTTACAAAGTGTCAAAAATAAGCAATAAAATTTAACGACTTCGGCTCACCGCTAGGACAAAGAATGATTGGAGTCGAAATGTCTCGTAAGAAATATATTTCTTTATAATATTTCTTTAGAAAATACGCAAATTAAAACGCATTACTTATAGTATTCTTTTCTATAGGTTTGTTCATTTATTTACCAATGAAACTAATGCATATAGTTATAATTCTTTTTTTTTATTTTCGTCCTCCTTAATCCTTTCTATTCGAAGTCAAATAAAAAAGATGTAAAATAATAAAAAGAATATATATCTAAAGTAAGTACTGAAAATGTTGGCGTTATTGTTGTAAATTTTTCATATCGCACGGGATTTTGATGAAAGCTAAAAAAAATGTCTTTACTGCAGTTAAAATTAAATCCATTATATCTGCCTATTCCATATTTTAATAAACACAGTAAAGAATTATAATATTAAATAAAAACTATTTTTTAATAAAAAAAAAACAATATATAAAATTAGGAACAATAGCGTCTCCGCTAAACGGAACAGAATCAATCCACGTAAACCGAACAACTTAAGTGGTCATGCTAGAGAATGATTTTACGTTTAGAATAAGTGTCTTTATAAACTGTGTGCATTATAACCCCGGTTTTTGAATACGATTTCATTTGGAAAAAGTTTTAAAGTTAATTTCTTAATAAAATATCAATATTTAAAATAGAATGATGACAATTATATAATGATAATATTATGACTAAACGAAAATATGAAATTCCATCCTTTTTTGCATCTTAGATGTGTGTGTTTTTGCAGTTTTTTTAACGAGCACTGAGGCGTGTTTACCGTCGGAGCATTCGAGTGGTACTAAACTAAAACTACACCGCGATGTTGAGTTTGGTGGACTTTCAGTTGGGACATTTTTTTGCCACTGATTGTGTATCTAGTTCTTTATTAGTGATCGATGGTTAGCAAGCAAAAGATAGGGCGTGGCCTGGCATGCGGCGCGCGGCGCGGTGCGGAGGGGGATATGCTCGAGTATACAGCCCGAATGCGGGCACACGCATAAGGGCACACGTCGTTGACGGTCGTCTCTAAATAGCGATTTTTTCGATACTTCGTCGTCTGACGCGAAACTTATAAAGTATAAATAACTCGTTCTTTTTCTTTCGTGTTTCTCTCTTTAAATTTATTCGTTCTTTCTAATTAATTAACTCGTTCTTCCGTTCTTTTTTTTGGTTCTTTCTTAAATTCTTCATATTAATTAATAATATAATAATAATTATTAATAAAAAAATAAAAACAGCTAAAAAGTTATAAATAAAAAAATTATTATTAAAAAAACAAAATACCCGACTGCACACTAAAAAAAGAGTAAAACAAGCCCCACAATACAAATTTACTGAATATAATTTATAAATGTTGATGGAAAGCATCGCAGGCGGGGACCACCTTGACCGCCACCAACGAAAATTCTGCTAAATGGTGCACAACAGAAATGACTATAAATAAGCCTCTGTTGGTCCCCGCCTGCGATGCTTTCCATCAACATTTATAAATTATATTCAGTAAATTTGTATTGTGGGGCTTGTTTTACTCTTTTTTTAGTGTGCAGTCGGGTATTTTGTTTTTTTAATAATAATTTTTTTATTTCGTTTGGTTATATTAAGACGCTTTGTGCTTATGTTATTTTGTATAAAATTACGAGCTGTGATAATATGTGACGTCATACTTTTTTCCTATTTTAAAATCATACTTTTTACTTAATTTATGTTCAGTTTCATTTAAAATCTATACCTATTATAAAGAGGTAAAATTTGTAAGTTTGTATGTAGGGGATAATCTTTGGAACCGCTGGTCGGATTTCGAAAATTCTTTCACTAATTGGGAGCTACGATGTTCCCAAGTAATATAGGCTATAATACATCACGCTACGATCACATGGAGCTGAGCAGGCAGCTGGTGAAACCGCGCGAGAATAGCTATCTCAATATATTTTTCAAATTCAAATTCAAATTCAAAAGTGTTTATTTGCAAGAATTACATTGTTTAATAAGGAAAGGTCTTATATCCTAAAAGTCACTGCATTCAGCCTGCAAGCAAGCGTGCAAATTATTTTGACGACATTGTGTTGCTTAATATGAACTTGATCAGCCATTACAATAACCTTAATATTGTATAGGTAGGTAGAGTCGTAAAGATTAGGTATATGTAAACACATAACTAACCTTCTTTATAACCGACTTTTTGTTTTAAGTTTTTTTTATGGAATAGGAGGCAAACGAGCAAACGTTACCGACATAGCCCAGCGGATTAGCAAGTTGAAGTGGCAATGGACAGGGCACATAGCGCGTAGAACCGACGGCCGCTGGGGCAGAAAGGTTCTCGAGTGGAGGCCACGTACCGGCAAGCGCAGCGTAGGACGTCCGCCCGCAAGGTGGACAGACGACCTGCTTAAGGTCGCAGGAACCCGCTGAATGCAGGTCGCTTCCAACCGGACGTCCTATGGCTGATATGATGATGATGATGATGATGAGCAAATGGATCACCTGATGGTAAGCGATCAGTGCCGCCCATGAAAACACGCAACACTAGAGGAGACACAGGCGCGTTGCCGGATTTTTAAGGAGATGTACGCACTTTTCTTGAAGGTTTGAAGATCGTATCGGTTCGGAAATTAAGCCATACTTTGGTTAGAATGTACCGAACTGATACCACGGCTTTACCAGAAATGGGCGCTAAACAGTTGTGTTTTATTTGACTGGTAGGTACGTTTTGGATTTAGAGGCAGGAAATGTCCAGGATTCGTTATTGTGAAGACCACGGGATGGACATTGTGGAATATACAGTGGCGATGTGCCCTGCTTGGAATAAGCATCACCATGTCCCGCCGAGAAACGAAAAATTCGTAACCATACCTCACCATCATCATTAGCCTATAAGTGCCCACTGCTGAGTAAAGACCGTCTCTCACACGGAGAAGGTTTGAGCAATAGCCACCACGCTTGCTCAAAGGATTGGCAATTTCGAACTTTTAATTAGAAATTATAAGTCCAGATTTCTTCACAATGTCTCCTGGACTGTAAGTATATCAGTGATGTCTAAATAATCATAGAAAGTACCTAGTGTTAGACGACGAAAATCAACTAAATGAACGTCACTAATATAATCTGTGGTCTCGGCAACACTGGCTGCCGTGGTGACGCTGTCGTCTGTCAACTGAGACAGATGAATAAAGTTTTCCCGCGCAAAGAGTGCAACGGGGATTATGGTGGGAAGTTTGACGAGCATAGAAATAAGTTTCTTATGAGAATTAGTTTTTAATTAAACTTAAATATTTGAGAGTGTGGTGTTTTACTTAAAACTAGGTACATATAACTCGGAAATACCTATGTAGTCACATTGGTGCTTGCCGGGTTTCGAACACATCCTATCATGAAGTGGACGATTTAACCTCCGAGCCATCACTACGTTATCTATACGTACCTATCTACATAGAAATAATTTCGAGAAAATCTTTAAAATGATGATCTTTGTCATCAAATATAATTTAAAACGTCGTTAGAAGACATTTTTTTTAAGTTTTGTTGATAAAATCTTTAATAATCACGCTAAAATGTTTTATCAGAGATATAAATGGAACCATAGTTTTTCGTGGCATAGACTGGCAATCGAGCAGATGGGTTATTACCAAATGGTAAGAAAATCATAGACACTCGCAACATCCAAGAGTTCAAGTGTCGGAGATCCAAGCTTCGGCACGAATGGGTCGGCTCGACCGGAGTGATACCACGGCTTCACCAAAAACCGGCGTGATACAACTACAGCGTTGTGTTTCGCTGTGTGAGTAAGGTTAGCGGGGGCCCAATCTTTTTTTCGCCGAAAACCTTTTATTTTATTTTACTAATGGTAATAACGGCGTCCTTGAATTTTGAATCCGGAAACATATTAAGTATGTAGATATTAATTACGTTAGAATTCAACATTGAAGCATCTTAAGCTCTATGCTTTATTGATTTAGGTAATTAACTAAATTTAAACAATCTTGCCATCTCTTTTTATTTAAAAGTTGTCTAAAAATTGTTTTTAAAAATCTTTACAATCAGGTATTTGCGTAAATCGATGTGAGATAATAAACTAAATTTAAATAATTGTTGTATGTATTTTATACGACCTCTTTATTAATATTAAAAGACATATCAAGATTGTTTACATTTAGTCTACCACCTAAACTGATAGACTATAGTAAATCTCGGAAAGGGCAAAGTGCCTATTCAGGATAAAATTAGAAAACGTGACACTATGCAAGAAATACAATAAATTAATTAGTCTAATAAACGTGCTCATTAGATATTTACGCATTAAAACAGATTGCATTTAGTTTTATATGATTATAGAGTTACAAGCAAAAATATATTACTTACGAGATTATAAATAAACGAAAATTGCCGATATTTTCTAACATGATTAAATAGATTAGAACTAAATATTATTTTATGACAAAATTAAAATAATTGGCCTCTTATTTTGTGTACAATATTATTTTTATATTTTGGCCTGTACCTATCTCCTCCACAGATAATGAAAACCAAAAATGTTTCAATCAAGAGATTCAAACGAAACGTTAAATTATTATTTAATAAATACCATCTTATTTATAAGTCATTACTTATTTTGTATAACCAATAAGATTAATTTACGTAGGTACCTAATTATTTTTATAAAGTGTATGCCAACCTCCTAATCCCGAGTCTATTTTTCATAAATATATGCTGCATAAATTAATATCATAATCATATTAGGTAAATATTTCTGTAACCAAAATAACTTGAAATCACACAAAGAGTAATAATAAATACTTAATGCGCCAAACGAAAAAAAAAACAAACCACACAACAACTACCGAAAAAAAATTTAAACGTCAAATTTCCCGCGCAATAAAATCACTTGACACACGCACGGAAAAATAAAAACGAACGAAACAAAACACGATTTTACGAACAGAACATCGACGAAACTTCGTAAAACTTTTATATTATTGTTTATTTCGTAAATCGGAGGACGTAATGTCACTCGGGAGGGCAGAGGAGTACTGAAGGCTTTGCCGCGAAAATGTACAACGTCACACTAATGGCGGTCGAATGACCGAAACGATTACGTAATACGACACTTATTGCATTTTGATAACTAGTTTATTATGTTCGTTCATTTTAGTATGTTTTATTCAGTAGTGGAAAGTCAATGGCGATTTTGTTCTACGATTTTAGGGTAAAATAGTTGCGTTGGTAGGTGGTTGGGGAGTCAGGTATTTGTTTGTAGGTAGGTAAGTAGGTAAGGACTAAAAGTAGGTATTTTACGGTGCTTAGTCATAATATGAAAACATCACGCTAACTTTTTAGCCATTTATGTAGAGTCTTAGGGCAGTCTTCGCAATAATGAACAGGTATCTATAGATATCTACCTACCTAATATTTTTTTAAGCAGTACATGTAAGTAAATATTATTGCCTATTTAAGTTTATTTCCTATATATTCCTCGGACCTTTACTATACAACAAACTGACTGCGACTTTATCCTTTTACTCCTACAATCTCCATACCTGAAAAAAGATCCTAATCGAAGGACTTCAAGACATGTCCTATGAAGACACAGAGAAGTTATTATTAGTTCCTAAATAACTGTAGTAAAGGTTTTTATTTTTATTTAATTTAATTAAACATAGACATAGAGTTTAAGTATCGTTTCATCCTGTTTTTCATATAAAGAGAACTTAGCATTATTTCCTTAATTTCAAAATAATTATTTACTTATGATTATTTAACAATGTACTTATAATATCTTTTTATCGACTTTCGCCTGAAACAAACACTGTGTTCCTAGTTCAGGCACCCAATATTATGAACTTGGTATATAGCTTTAAGCAAAAGTGTATATTCTAGATTATTATAGTTCTTCAATAAATTGTATTTATTTAAATATATTTTTATCTAATAATTTTTGACTAAGATAAGTTTAGTTGTGTAGGTACAACTAAGGTAATATTGGGTGCCTGAACTAGGAACACAGTGTTTGTAGATAGATTTGTAGATCTTAGATAAGTGTATAAAATATAATTGTATTATTGGTAATATCTCGATTTTGCTTGCTTCTTGCGCCTACCATTGACTCCTCTCTACATCATCGAAAGGTTCGACTGGTAGAGAATGCCTGCGGCATTAAGTCCATCTTGGACATAAATCTATACTAATATTATAAAGCTGAAGAGTTTGTTTGTTTGTATGAACGCGCTAATCTCCGGAACTATTGGTTCAAATTGAACAATTCTTTTTATTTTGTTTGTTTGTCCAATTATCGAGAAAGGCTATCTAATCTATACTAATATATCTATACTTCTATACCTAATATGATAAATGCGAAAGTAACTCTGTCTGTCTTCTCTTCACGCCTAAACTACAGAACCGATTTCTGTGAAATTTGGTACAGACGAGACTAGTTTGGAATTCGAGAAAGGGCATAGAATAGATTCTATACTGAAAATCTGCAGGAAGTCACTATTCCAGGCGAACGGTCGGGGTTTCGCGAAAGAAAACAAAGAAAGCTGAGACAAGCCCAATACTGTGTACCTAATTTGTCAGACCCAGAAATCGGATCCTAACCGCCCCGGCCTGGTGCATGAACGGGGTTGTTTTTAGTCAGTAAGAGTCTCAGGGTGCAGTTCCATTGAGGCGGAGCGGAGAAGAGCTGTGCCGCGATTCACCAATCACATGGCTTGGACACAAACAGACACGCCACATCGGAGAAGATATCGGGCACGCTACCATAGCAGCGGTAAGACCCCTCTTTGGGGAGTCGCTTGAGAGACGCCACGGCGTCCTCACCTTCCGTCTGACGCAGGTGCTTACCGGGCACGGCAGCTTCGGTAGGTTCCTGTTTCGGATTCAGCGGGAGGAAACGCCCGAGTGTCGTCATTGCGAGGACCACCTAGAGGATACGGTAGCGGTATGCCCTGCCTGGGCTGAGCACCGCCGTATCCTCAGGGAAGTGATCGGCGGCGGCGACATCTCGCGCCCGGCCTTAGTCGAGGCCATGGTGCGGAGTGAGAGGAACTGGGACGCCGTCTCCTCCTTTTGTGAAGCAGTCATGCTCGCAAAGAGAGAGGCGGCCCGCGTGAGGGAGCAATCCTCCTCCTCACGCCCCAGCAGCCGCAACTGGCGACACTACGGGCGGTCGGGGATCGAGGGACGATCTCCGGCCACCGTAAGCACGGGCCTGCGGTCGGCGAGTAAGGGCAGCTCGCCGCCCGACCAGAACCAGGCCCGAGCGTACGGCGCGTAGCGTTCCGCGCGCGCCTCCAAGAGCCAATAGACCACCACAGACGGGGCCCTAAAGGGCTGATGTTCAGCCGGGGTTGCGGGGTAAGCGCAATGAGGTACTGCGACCTCGGCACAGAGCAGGAGAAGGAACAGGGGGGTTTTTAGTCAGTAAGAGTCTGACACTCCCTCCTGCCCGGCCCTGGGCGGGAGAAGTCATTTGATGATTTTCCCCTCACAAAAAAAACCCTGACACTTCCTCAAGCTCCTCTCTGTTAGAGAGAAGTCTTTTGATTACTATTCCCCCTTAAAAAAAATCCTCGGGTTCAAGAGTCCCGTTTTTAATCAATTGACGACTTAGGCTTATTGAAGAACAGAAAGTTTCGCCTTTGTTGAATTGAAAAAGAAACAATGTAGGTACTAATATTATAAATTGGTAAAAGTAAGGGAAATATAATTTGTTAATCATCGGAACTCTGACTAATCAAGTCATGCCGTACTATAGTATAGAACACCACACACTAGCGACATCTATGTTGTATTTTATGAATGATGATGAAAATATATATTCAACTATAATTAACCATTTTTGCAATATTGTTTTTGGCAGACTGTAGGGGTGTAATTCTATTAACTGGGGTTGCTGGAGAAAGCGCAAAAGGTACCGCAGCCTCGGCCTAGGGCAGGAGTCTAACTGTCTAACACTCCCTATTGCCAACTTAAAAAAAAAACAGAAAAGTTTCTTCGAATTTCCGATGTCCTCCACACGAATTTGTATTTATTTTGATAGGCGTAGTTGTTAGCCAACCGCTAACAGGGAAAAACATCTACTTGTAATATAGGAAAGCAAATATCCTACTTCCTACTAGTATGCTACTAATATTATTATTTAATGTGAAGGTTCGTGAAAACGTATGTTTATTAGAAAGAAAGAAAGAAAAAGTATTTATTCGCGTCTGGGACGCATAAAAGACACAAAACAAGATAATAAAATAAAGTTAAGAGTAAAAATACATTAAGCATGGTAAAAACAATAATTATAACAAAAGTAGGTACCTAGGTAGGAGAAAAATATGCGTCCAAGCACGCGAAATGGTCCACGCTCAGCATAATGCAGCGACCCCGTACGAGACGGGTATTCTTATTAGTATTACGTATTCTTTCACGCAAAATCGGGTGGAATTATTTGATTGAAATTTGGTTACCAAAAAGGTACCGCAGCCTCGACCTAGCAGGAGAAGGCCCGGGAGAGATTTTAGTCAGAAAGAATCTAAAAATTCCTTTCCTCGCCTCACTCGAGAAGAGACGCCATTTGTTGGGTTGCCCTCACAAAAAAAGTTATAAGTGGATGTTCCAACTGTACCTTTTCGTCATATATTTGGTTATTTTTAGGACAAGATTTGTATGAAAGGAAATTTCGTCGATGCAGAAACCAGTAGGGATTTTTGTTGGACATGTCGTGCATTGTCAGAAAATTTTCTCTCAATTCCTAATCAATGGTAACTTGGATATCTATCTATCTCTTGATTTTAATGTTTTGTGTTTTAATAATCGCCATAAATTAATTAAAAATTAAATAAATACCACTAATATGCACTTATTACATTATCTATAACTCGAGAACTTCTGGACAGATTTTCATGAACTTTGACTTCGAAGAGTCGGTTTTAACCCAAAATTGAATTGATGATGGTAAATAAAGAAAAAACATTATTAGGTATGCATCAATAGCAATAAAAATCCACAACTCCTTTATAAATAAATTTTTCCACTTCCGATTACTAGCGCCATCTATCTTACGTAACTAGTAACACTTACCTTAAAGTACTGCGTTTCTCCGCTAGAGCGAGCTGCTGTGCTACTGTCAAAGGCCTGGGTCTATTCGGCCTAGGCGCATTGGGGAAGGAATCCCTTCCTTCATGAGCTGGACCATCATCGACTGGCTCTTGCTCCACTTCCTCTCCAACTACGAAGTTGGCACCACCCTGGAAGATAGAGAAAAGGAATTTGAAGTTATGAGTATAACTACATTGTCCGAAACAAAGTCGTTTTTTCTGTCCCTATATACGTTTTTTTATGTGATAGGTCGGCAAACGAGCTTAAGGATTACCTGATGGCAAGGCACCAACGCCGCCTATGGATACCCGCAACAACGGACGAGTTACGAGTGTGTTGCCAACTTTTTGGGGATTAGGGATTTGGAGATTATATTTCTTATTAAGAGGTAAAATTTGTAAGTTTTTATGTAGGGGATAATCTTTGAGACCGCTGGTCGGATTGCCATAATTATTTCACTGATAGATACAATGCTACAATGTTTCTGAGTGCTATACGCTATAAATAATACTTTATTTGCGTATTTAGTAGAGCTCTATCGCTTTAAACGCTGCTGTTTTAAAAAGCCCTGGGTACATACACAAAGACTGACTTACACAATACTATTTTCTTGATGCAATATTGTATTAACAAATTTAAGGCTCGTTTACATTATAGGTCAGTACCACTTGTCAATAATAGGGATGACGACTAAAAAATAATAATTAGTCCATCTTTTAGAACGCCAGAAAACAGTAGACACGTATTTTTTCTTTTGCTTCTAAAATTTAAAATAACAAAGTTACAGAGCGGCGAAAATTCGCGTAAAAATTTACGAAATAATGACGTATTATATCGTAAATTTTTACTAAAAGAGTGACGTTACGAGCCCCTACTCCTGAATTTGAATGTGCTGTATCTTTGTCAATATTATTCGCATGGACAGATAAAAAAATACGTATCGAGTATTTTTCTATAATCTAACTGACAAATTAATTAGAATCTTGTGGTTTTAACCCAGGAGACATCCCTATTGCTTTTATAAATTGCATGTAACAACCAAGAAACTTGCATCGTGCAGTTTACTATTATATGCGTGCG